GTGTGAAGCAGAGAGATTCTTTTCCTTTTTTTTTTTTTTTTTTTTTTTTTTTTTTTTTTAACTTTTTGTACCCCCTACCTTGTACTGATTCACGGTTGCAAGGAGAAAGGAGAAGGAGATGGCGGTAGCTGCCATGGCGTGGGTGGAAGGCATCCCGTACTCTGCATCCGTCCTCATTTCCAGCTTGACGACAGGCGGGGAGAGGGGCCGAGGCCACTTCAGGATGTCCTTGGAGACCTGGCCTATGTACATCACTGTCTGGGGAGAGGAAAGGCCACAGGGCTGTCAGTCAGCACGGGCAATCCCCACTCGGCCCACCTGAGAACCACCTCTATTTCTGTGCTTTGTCCTGCAAAATCCACCACCCCAAGTGCCTAATTTATCCCCTGAATTACTAAAGGGGTTCCTATTATGCTGGTCAGCGAAGGGAGCGGTGTTTTTACTGCATCATGTCATAACCTGATCAGAAGTGGGACCAAAAGGAGAGTTTGCTGATGAGAAGCAGCAATACAGGATGGCAAAGATGGACAGCTGTCTTCCACCCCATGCTAGAGAAGTTTAAGTTTCCTCCCTATCCCTTACAACCCTTCTCCTGCAAAGCAAACAGCTATAAGAGAAATTTTTCTGCCAGCATCTTCAAATTACCGCCTGGCAGCTCTGCGAGGGCAGCCCCAGCTCTCCTCTGCCCGCAGCTCCCGCTTCCCCTCCCCAGCAGCCCCGCTGGGACGCCTCGCCGGCGTGGTTATTGAATGATAACCTTGGCATCCTCAGGGAGCCAGCAGGGAGAAAACGGGGTGAGCCACATCAAGTACCAGCTCTCCTGCCTAACTCCCCAACAGCAAAGGGCTTTTGTGCACTGCTTGGGACACCAGGGTTTAAGCAAGGTCTTCATGAATTAGCTACCGAGCACTGCAACGCAGTGATTTGGGGGGGAAATGTTGCATTCCCAGGTCACTGCAAGTAGTAGCAATGGGAAGCAGAAGCAAGAAGCAAAGCTGGCCAGCATCCCCAAGGGGTGCAGCCCACCCGGCAGTGGCCAGGGCACCCGCCGTGCTGATATCCTCTGCTCCTCAGCACCCTCTTCCCAAAGGCAATGTGCTCTCGGCACCAGCAGTGAGAAGGACATGAACAAAAGTCACCCAGGCTGTCGCTGGAGGATGTATTTGCTTTCTGTTACCACCCTCCTCCCTTTGGATAGTGCAGCCAGACATATGCAAAGCAAGCTTTACAAAACAAAGCAAACTTTGTATTTTTTTTTAATACAAAAATCAGGTTAACTGACATCTGCCATGAAAGCTCAGTTGCTGTGCAAGACGGCTCGCTGTTCTGCTTCGCACGCTTCCACTAGCAAAGGAGGGGTCTTAAAATAACATCCTTCCCATGCTGGTGTTAGCCATATGCCAGAACAGCAACATGATCATCCGCTGTCACATTTGTCACCAGCCACATTGCATCCCTGTCTCTCCCACTAGCCATTAAAAAAAATGGCTTCACATTAAAAGAAAGATGTCAGGGTTCAAAATTCACAAATCAGGACCAGGAAAAAGCCAAAACGTCACGTTCCTTCATCCCCCTGTGTACAGCAAAGCCCATGCCGTGGGGAGTACTAGGCTTACAGCCAGCACCAGAGTCTGGAAAAGTGACTGCTGGTGCCTTTGCATCCTTTATCCCTCGTCACATGAATCACATTATTGCCTTATCATCAGCACCACCTGCGGCACACCTGGCTGTTCCTCCTTTACCCTGGTACATGGGGCATAGGGCAGTCGGCAAACACCCTGCCCTGGACTGTTCACAGTAAACAAAGGCTCAAGGAACAAGGGCGTTACAGAAACCACCGCGTGGGTTTATTTGGTTAATGCCACCAGTTTCAAAATGGATGCAGGTACATCTTTGGAAGTTAATTAAATTCCAAGGTTGAAAGCAAAATTACTCTCTCTGACAGAACATAAAGCACTGAGGCTACCATTTGTGATATCATCTGAGAGGCAAGGTAGGATGAGCCAGTTTATCAGCAGTCCTCTATAATAATGACTTCCACTTGTAGAGGTATTATTAGCACTAGTACGTAAGAGTATTACAGAAAGGGAAATGAGTCATCTTTGAAATGAAGGCTATGCTAGGACTTCTCTGATGGTGAAAAACAAGCTGAATGCTGGAGGGGGTATATGTAAGCAAAAATACCAGACATTCTCACAACACCTTCCTTCCTGGCATTCCAGATTAAATTCTGACCCTTCTATTTTTTAGAAATGCATATTGCATAGACAGATACAGTAATGAGAGGTGGGACAACCTCCATAAAACATGAAGGAGTCCAGAATACATTCGAACTAAGCACTGATCTCTGAAGCGTCAGACCTTTGCCTTTAGCTTATCTGGGTGCCGTGCGCGTGGTTTTACGCACAATATCCTGGATTATTTGGCAGAAGCAGCAGTTGTGGGTGCGGCAAAACATCTCCCATCAACTGAAGTGGCAGGCTTCCCCGAGAAGGTGAAAGACGAGTGCACCATTGCTAAAAGCCACCCAGCCAAGGCGTTGCTCTGCTTGGCCTGCCTGCCCACCTGCTGCTCACAAGTGGCTGGAGGAGCGCGGGACTGCCCAGGCTCTTCGGCTCACGGCACGGCAAAGCAAACGGCCCGAACTCCTACCAGATCCGCCTGTGGTGGGCAAAGGGGTGCCCTCCCCGGGGAGACGGCCCCACGGCATGGAGCCAGGCAGGCAGAGCAGCAGCTGGGACCTGTGCCCATGCGCCCAGCCCTGAGCATCAGGCAGTTCTGGTGGGGACCAGCACACAGCTGGCGACCGAGGGCAATACCCCTGCGAACAGACCAAGCACAAACATCCAGAGCTCAGCCACAAATAGTAAAAAACAACAACAACAACACTACAACAACAAAAACAAGTAGGAGGGCACCACGGATGCAGTCACCACGTGACAAGTGTTTTGCAGAAATACAGTTACAGCATTATATTTCATTGCAGAATATATCTAAATTGCACTCTGCTGTGGCTCTCATCTTCCGACAATGGTAGGTACCACCTTCGTTAAGTGGTATAGGCTCTCTTCAGCCACATTTCATTATTTCCTGACCTTATTTCTCTGTCATTTTGGATTTACTCTCTAACAGTCCTAGGAAAGAAAGCAAGCAGCCTGAAAGTTTTAGGTTGTTATCAGCTTTTTTTCAACCTAGCAGACTAGAGATCTCCTGTAATAAACATGGTGAACCATAACCACTGAAGGACTGGGAAGGAGGAGAAGGGAGATGAAGAGCTGAGCTTGCAGGACAGGCTAAAGATCAACACAGAGCTGAGCCTCACCTGCACTTGACTCGAATTACCTATTTGTGCAGTGCCAAAAATCTTTGATGGCTCTGGAATAAATTTAGCATGGGAAGAAATTACCCCAAGTCCGGACCAGCAAGTAACTCGGGATTGCTTAGGACCACAGGACTGGGTCATTTTGCTGTGATTTCCAGCCTACCCTAGGTAAGCCGAACAGCACGTTCGCGATGGCTTCAGACAGACACACAGGGGAGGGTAGGCTAAGGCTTGACTCAGGAGCGTGTCACCTGGTAGTAGCTGATCAGCAGCAAGTTTCTGCATTTCCAAGTCTAAAGCAGGGTGATCCCTCAAGTCTGCAGTGCCGGGCTTCACCCAGCTCCCTTTTCACAAGAGCTGGGAAGATTTAGGGAGAAAGGAAGGGCCAGGCTCAAACCACGCTCCACTAAGATTTAAATAAAACCCATTCCAAACGTCTTTACGTGCCCGTGTACATTTCCATCCAAGGGGTCTCCAAGCCCAAAGCTGAACATTGGAGAGAAGAGGGAACAACAGGCCCTTGAACGCTGAGTGAGCAGATACCATTTGCTGTCTCATGGGCACAGCAAAGAAGGGAAACCTTAAAGCAAATTATTTCTTCATGCATTATTGTTCTGTTTGCTTCTTCCTTACATTGCTGACATTTTTTGCCTACCTAGAGTGCTATATTACAGCTCTCAATGCTATTCTTCTGTGTTCATTTCTAGCACAGGCTCTCTTTCACTCTGAGTGACACAGATCAACCGGATTGTCTGCAGTTCTGGTGGAAAACAGTTTGCAGACATCTCCAATATAAATAACGTTAATTTGCACATTAGTAAGTACCTCTGTCTCTGCATGGGGAATTTGTCTGACCCTGGAGACTCTTCCATTGCTGAAGGAACAAAGTCAAAGCCATGATGGATTGTGTAGCAAATGCTTAGCTGGAAAAGTTAACTACACAGAAATGTATGGGAATTTAGCTCAGATTTCACAGAAGTTGATGGGACAGGCATGGCTAATTCCCTTTACTCTGAAAGCTGGCAGCAGCAGCTCTAACTACCCTGTACCTCAGGCTGTTCAAACTTTCCAAAATGAAACGTAAACATTTCACATCCGAGTTACAAAGACGTGTTGGAAAACAGGGTGGGCTGCTTGGGCTGGCAGGGAGGGAGCAGAGCTGGAGTTCAAGGGTGGGAAAGGGGAAAAGTACCACAGGTCAGCACCACAGCCTTCCCAGGCCACAAGCAGGGCCCAAACCTGGGCAGAAGCAAAGCGATGCTCTTGGGCACCAGACAGGTCCGTACAAGGACCCCTTGTCCCACGACCCCCTGCACGCTTTCCCACGGGAACAGCCTGCCAGGGGCTCTGCTCTATCTCTGCATTTACAGGTCTTACAAGCTACAGTTGTGACAAATGCCACAATGCAAGTCCTTACTAAACAAATGATGGCAAAAGCAAGGTGGACCATGGCATGGGAGCAGAGGTGTGGTGGAGGGGTCGCTGGCAACAACCATGCACACGCATACCACAGGGAAATGCCACCTTCCCTTCTGTATCGAGGTGTGTGCATTACACACACAAGGAAAAGTTGTTCACATACCGCTGCCATGGTTGGGACCCTCAGGAAGTTATGTCAGCTCCCTAGTATTTGCGGTGTCACTTGACAGTGACACGGCAGCACCAGCTGGAGATGTAGGATATAAACCACATCCCCTCAGCCCCGTCCTCCAAGGCCACATGGGCACGGCCCTTCGCTGCGGGGCTGTCCCCCACCGCTCCCCCCTGCCCCAGGCTGCACAGCTCCCACCTCCCCTGCCGCTATCTGCCGCGGTGAAGCACAAACCGGGCACCTCATTTCTACGGCTGAATCTGTGAGCTGCATCTGCAGGCAGAGGAGAGCCCAGGGCTAGGCGAGGCAGGCTATTCCTCCCGGGGGCTCCCGCTCTGCACTGCA